CTCCTCAGATTCTTCCTAAGAGAAACTGAGAAACAAAAAATGAACAACAGTTCCCAGCAAGCAGGAGGAGCATTAGCTTTGTCTATAGCTATATCCTTACCACCGAGTGGAGTACTCGATGGTATCTGCTAGGTGCTCAATAAATACAGCTACATCAATACGGGCACTTTTGTAGGCACCTGCATGTCTAGTCTTATTTGCCAGCATCTCCCTGTAATGATTTGTGTCTAGGTATCCCTGCCAAAGCCTCATGCGGTCATGGGGCGGCTTCTGGAATTTGTGATTATTGTGGGTGTGGGTGCTGCAACTGCCCTGGGGCAGGCAATCTGCATTACAATGTAAAGAGGGGAAAGAGACTAGCTAGCTGCTATAGGTGCTGCCCCTCCCTTTGCTCTTTGCCAGTGCCATGAATGGCTGCACCATGTCATGTGCCGCTCTGCCTTGGAGCCAGCTTGAGTATGGACTGAAACCTCCACTAACTGTGAGATAAATGAACCCCTCCTCCCTTAATTTTGGGTGATGGGTATTTATCCCAGCAATAAGAGAAGAATAACTGAGACACTTCCTATGTGAACTGCACTTTTTGAAAATTTTCTATGGAAGACTTTGTGTGTGTACTTTGTCATGTTCAAATATGTATTTATATATTTGTTAATTTAATGTACTATTAAATGTTTTCTTTGAGATACATTTCTCCCACATCTCTATATCATGAGTTCCTGTTCACACCCAAATCTCAAAATACTCGTCATCTCTGGTTTAGTTCAACAAATATTTACACCAAGTGGCAATCACTGAATGTAGAGACAGGAAAGACAGGCTCTTGCAGTAAAACTTTAGAATAGGTATATCTGGGTTTTGAGTTTTGTTTTGTTTCTGCCACTCAATATCCAAAATCCCTTCCTTTCTTAAGAAGAAAAAGCAGGGCTGGGGAGATAGCTCAGCAGTTAAAGTGCCTGTCTGGCAAGCTCAAGGACCTGGGTTCAATCCCCAGTACCACATGCTATGTACCAAGTAAGTAAATAAAAGATTAAAAAAAAAAAAGGGGGGGGGGCTAGTAAGCTAGCTCAGCAAACTAAGTGCCTGTCTAGGCAGGTACAGGGACAAGGGTTTAAGGCCAGGCACTAAATGCCAAGCTGGTCCTGCCCCTGAGCAAGACCGGGCATGGTGGTACACACCTGTAATCCCAGCAACAGGAGGCTGAAAACAGGACGATCACTATAAGTCTAAGACCCTGTACTAAATACATAAATAAAAAAAAAAAAAAGAAAAAGCATTCTCTTCTCATCTGTCCTGCCAACTGATCCAAGCACTATGCATCTTACATGGTGCAAGGGTTTTGAATATGTGCAAGAGTGGCACAAAGGCAACGGAATTTGGTGTAAGCCCAGAGGCAGCTACATCCTAATTTAGCGGTGCCAAGAGCAAGGGTCACATCCCATTCAGACCTGTGAGGTGACCTTGGTCTTTGCTGCTGGCTAGGTCCTCTGGTTCTTACCTACTTTCCCAAGCACATTTGACAGTCACCTGCCAATCCAATAAGCTCTCCAATACCTTCATAGACTCTTCCTCCTTAAACTAGTCTAAGTCAGTTTCTGTTGCTTACAACCAGAACTCCTTGAACTCACTTTGTATTTTATTATTTTTGTGGCCAACTCAGCCCACCCTGGGAGCAGGGCTGGCGCGGCATGCGGTGCCAGGGATCAAACTGTGGTCCCTAGGCTTGCCTAAGCTTGCCTAAGCAGGTGCTTTAGACCGCTGAGCTATCCTGCCGGCCCCTTGAACTCACTTTGTAGCCTAGGCTGGTCTCAAACTCACAGCAACCCTCCTGCCTCAACCTCAAAAGAGTGCTGGGATTATAGGCATGTGCCACCGTGCCTGGCCAATCAACCTTATTTTTGAAGAATATTTTTTACTAGACATAGAATTTTTCCTTCATTATTTTGTCTCTTGATCTGAATGTTTCCAGTGAAGAGCTGGTGTAATGCCTCATACATTTGATATATTCTTTTCTCTAACTGCTTTCAAGATTTTCTCTTTATTATTAGGTAGGTCTCAGGAATTGACTATGGGAAGCCACATATGTTTTTTGTAGAACACATCTTACTTGAAGTTTGTGAAGTTTCTTTGATCTACATGTCAAAGTTTTTCACTAAATTTCTCTACTTCTTCAGATATGAGTCTTTGGCACTTTTTCATCTCTGCTGTTGATCTGTCCCGAACTTTTCTGACTCTTCTGTCATCTCATTGTCTAGCAAAGGCATCTCATGAATGTTCTTATCCTGTTCAACCTTTTCCATTTTAGAATTTTCATTTAATTTTTTATAATTTCTGTTTTTCTGCTGAGATGATATTCTGCTATATATTCACTAATTAAGACAATATTTTCCATTAGTTCTTTGAACATATTTTAAAATATTTGCTTTGAAAGCTTTGTCTGCTAAACCTAGTATCTGAGCCATTTAGGATTAATTTCTGTTGACTTCTTTTCCTGGACCAGAATAATAGTTTCTTTTTTGTATTTCTAATAATTGTTGCTGACATACTGAAGACATCCTGGATTGGATTTTCCCCTACACAGTATTGATTTTCATTCTAGCAGGCAGTTTGCCGAATGGCTGCTCAACCCTGAGCTCATGTAGACTTGGTCTTTAATGTTTTTGGATGAAGTTGTGTGCCAAGAGTCACTAAACTGAGAGTATCTCACCTCTCCAGTTCTCAATAGGATTTGATTCTAAGATTTCTTGTGGGGAAAAGGTAAGCCTTACTATATAACCCTGGTTGACAAATTATAGCCACAGCCTAAGTCTGGCCCTTTGCCTTTTCTGTAAGTAAATATATGTTAATATATACCCACATATGTATAGATATATTATCTATGCTGCTTTTGCTGTACTGTAACAGGGTTGAACTATTATGACATACTGTATGCATCACAGTGACTAAAATAATTACTGGTTAATACTAGTAATTACTACTATTTTTTTCTTTTGTTTTGCACCAGGGATCAAACTCAGGACCTTGGGCT